ATTGTTTATAAATATTCCGTAGATAATATTCGCCAAAACTGACTGATATAGTTGTTAATAAAAAATTACTCATACAACTTGGTTAAAGTCTTCTGTTTTGACCCAGAGAAAGTAACGTATTTGACCATTAAGTATGAAAAATCTAAATCAATACAATATTATCTATATTTAAAATATTTTTCTTATTGGTAGTAAGTAATATAAGAATTTAAACTATCAAAATACATGCCACTCTCTTAAAATACTACAAACTTAAATTTTACTTATTTATATGTTTTTTCCCACAAGTAAATTTCAAAATTTTTTGAAAAATTTGAGCACTGAGAAAATCAGAATTCAGAATGATTATTTTAAAAATGAATAAAAACAAAAACAAAAAAAGACAGAACTAAAACTCAATTAAAAATAAGTAGAAAAAATAAAGTACAATTCAGACCAAAGCCTAGTTTTAGTTCTCTTTATTCTTCCTTCAGACCAGAGAAGAAACAACTTGTAAAAAGGGTTTGAATAAGTCAAGATCACGACCAAACCCTAGTTTTTGTCTCCGGCAACGAAGTAATGGTGGCGAGAAACAGTCGACGGGAGCTCTTCTTTGCAGCTTCCCTGATCCTAACCTTAGCTTTACTTCGTCTATCGGAATCAAATTCCGAAGGCGACGCTCTTCACTCGCTTCGCCAAAGCTTGTCAGATCCAGACCATGTTCTTCAAAGCTGGGATCCAACTCTTGTTAATCCTTGTACTTGGTTTCATGTCACTTGTAATCAGCACAGCCAAGTCACTCGATTGTAAGATTAAGATCCTCTCTCTCTCTCTATCTATCTTTGTAGCTCACCTTATGATTCGATGATACTTGAGTTCATTTCTTGTGGAATCTGACCATTAAAGGATCTTAATAGAATCTTTAATTGTAATCTTGATTTGATTTGAGAACATTACTCTCTGTTTTGTCTTTGGATGTGGTTTCTTGAATTGGATTCTTTAAGATTCATAATGAGTAATGACATGACATTTGTGGTAGCTACAGAATCATTATTGTAATGACATGACATGACTTTCTTGTTTAACTTCACTTCCTCTGTTCAATAATTTACACATTTGATGTTCTGAAGATTTAACATTGATTCCATTTGTTGTTGGCAGGGATTTGGGGAATTCAAACTTATCTGGACATCTTGTAGCTGAACTTGGGAAGCTTGAACATTTACAATATCTGTATGTAATCACCACTCTCTTTCAACATTTTTGATTATTTCCGAAGAATTAACTTGTACTAATGCAAAAAAGTTCACATTATGTGATTGGTCATGTATTTAGATATATTGTGTAAGTTTAACTTTTTTGTTCTCTACTAATTGATACAGTGAACTCTACAAAAACAAGATTCAAGGAAGTATACCTTCTGAACTTGGGAATCTGAAGAGTTTGATCAGTTTGGATCTGTACAGCAACAATCTCACCGGGAAGATTCCGTCTTCTTTGGGGAAATTGAAGTCACTCGTCTTTTTGTAAGTTTTGTGTTATTAGTAGTTGTTGCATACATTAGTAAGTAGTTGTTACTTGTTTAGTCTTTTTTTTTCTTTTCCTTTCTCTCTTTGTGGTATGAATTTCTAAAGTAACTTTCTCGACATGACAGGCGGCTTAACGAAAACCAATTGACCGGTCCAATTCCTAGAGAGCTATCCGCTGTTTCGAGCCTCAAAGTTGTGTAAGTTCAGTTACTCCAGCACTGTACCACTTCTGTTTGCTCATCATTGTGCCACTTGATATAAATATGGTTTCTTTGGCAGTGATGTATCAAGCAATGATTTGTGTGGAACAATCCCTGTAGAAGGACCTTTTGAACACATTCCTATGCAAAAGTAAGTTCTTTATTTTTCTTACATAACCAACAATTTCCCTTAACACAAGTTTGTTCTCTAACGCAAAAACCACCCATTGGTACAGCTTTGAGAACAACCTGAGATTGGAAGGACCAGAACTACTAGGTCTTGCGAGCTACGACACCAATTGCACTTGAAGAATCTATGAAAAGAAGAATGAAGATGACCTTGTAAGAACTGTGCACCAATTTATAACATATATATATAAGTAAGTAACTCTGCACCAAGTGTTTGTAAATCTATATAGTGCCTTGTTTCATGTTAAAAATACATGAGAGGCTTCAAAGACTGAAGGAAACATGCAGTGTTGTATTATTGTATTGGTAGATGGTAACTTGGGAGTGTATTGGTGTGTTGGTAGATTGTAACTTGAATGAGTTGTTATACATTCTAAAATATGTGTAATTGGTTTTGGATTTTGCAGTATTTAGCTATATGTATAATATTCAGTTATGCAATGCCTAATAATTAAACATCACGTAATACAAATATATAATATCAATAGTTCAATACAATAAAGACAAAATAAAACTCTTGCTTGTCACATCAGTTGTTTTGTGTTGGTAGGAAACACAAAGCTAAAACAGAAAATATACATTCTTTGAGGTAAGTTCACTCTCATCGGTTGTAATCTCTCTTTGTGATAACTCAATTGCTTCTTCAATGAGTTTACTGATGTTTGAGCCATGGCGTGGTAAAGCAACTGTGCCAGAGAATATGTCAAAGTTCTCAAGGTCAGATGTGGTCTTGAAGACATTCTCTATTTCATGTTTCATCTCAAGGTTTTGGAAAGTCTTGATTGTTTTAGAATTAGCTTTCATCATCGCGATGGTTAGCTCTATTGCAAACCTCCTGATTCTTGGAACCTTTGGATTTGGTTGTTCATACCTCTTGAGAATATTAACTAGTGCCTCGGCTAGTTCTTCCTCGCTTACTCTCGCTTCTTTAAACAACCATCTCTGTTCTTGGGGACTCATTTATCTTGAAAATATGTGGTGCTAATCCCACCATAACTTCTTGAGTTTTGCTCCCTTTAGACAGTATTGCTTTAAGAACCTGCATTGACATGAGATGTCATTAGTGATGAATGGTGATGACTGATGATGGTTCATTGGTTCATGAATCTATCAGTTTTTCTCCTGGATCAAGAACAGGAGGACTTACTGTTTCACCTGCAGATGAAATAGTATCCTTATATTGTTTATTGAACAGATCAGAAGCTGTATTCTACCGAACCAATGGGTTGTTCGATGCCTCAACGAGTCCCTGAAGAACATTTGATCTCAAGATCCGTTGGCAATTGCTTTTACTTTCTTGAGCCAATATAGATATAGTCTCACCAGCAGAGACTCTCACAGTCTCACACCACTTTGATTCTCTGAAAACTCTTTGTTCAAGAATAGGCAGAGAAGTCCCTTTAGAACCTCGCCAGTATCGCCAATTTTCTCGGTTTCACCTTCTTCTAATGCAAGAAATATCAAGATCTCTGCTCCGAGCTTCTACAGTTCAGGTTGCCTCTTTCCAGCAACCTTTTCTCAGTATAAGTCAAGTCAATGATCTTTGATATCAACCTTTTTATTTTCCCAATCTTCTCACTGCTGTTATCATGATGGTGAGCTAGCCTTTTCAAAATCAATAATCCAAGATTGTTCAACGTCCATATATTATATGCGGCTTGATAAGAATCTCTCGTGCTCTCTAACAGAGAAGATATCGACTCAATCGCTCCCAAGATGCCTACAACTCTCAGAGAGTTTTGCTTCTTACTTGCTGATCTTGAGAGAATCTCTCCAGGTAATGTAACCCTCACGTCTTCTTGATTCTTGTTTCTCCAATAATTCAACATCTCTACTAAACTTTCTATGATCTTCATGTCCATCCCAATCTTATGTAGAGTATCAGCCGTATAGTCTTGATTGGCTGAAAATATACAAAGAATCTGTACTCCAGTGAGCTGCTCATCAAGAGTATTCGACACCAAAAGCTCCATGGCAAAAAACACCATATCCATCTTCAATCTGTCATTTATGCTCCCATTTAGGCATCGTAGAAGAATCTTGTCACCGAGCCTATGCCAAATCTCTCGAGACATATATATATTCCCAATAAACTTTTCCAACAAGAAAGAGAAATAGAAGAGCCTCAACGAGCACTAGGGAGTAGAAGATTGTCAAAGCATAATGAAGATTAGTAACAAACCAAAAGTCCATAGTCTCTAAACTAACAGCGAATCCACCAAGAATAACAACCGTGGCCCATACGGATACTAAAGATCCCAACCACAAAAACAATCTATGATTAAGAACAGATTCAAAACTCAAAATTACTATTAAATTACTAATGGAAGAAGATAGAATCTTGAAAGTAAAAAATCCCAACACAAAATTACTATTAAATTACTAAAGATCCCAACACACACATATATATGACGATGATAATAATTATCATTTAATTATCCATATTACCTAAAGTAAAAAATATATATATGTATATATTTGTATCTTAATATAGTTTTCCTATTTTTAATAGGGTTCAGGGTTGTTTATAGGTTTTTTTTTTTCCGTTTTCAAGTTTAGATTTTCAATAGGTTCTTGATTTTTAACTAAATTATACATTATGTCCTCTTCTCACAAGTATAAATAAAATATAGATATGGTAGAATCTTCATAGACAACTCTCATAACAAAGCTATAGAGGAAGAAGGCACTCTTGAGCGAGCACATGACCTAAAACCCTCACCATCCGATTCCGACATGTACATGCTTTACTTCAAGGGTTTGGTTTGCAAGGAAACGACAGAGTTATTGGTGGGATTTGGTGTAGCAATTTTAGACCAAGACGAGAATCTCTTGTTTCAGATGAAGGGACCTCTTCATGGCTCGGGCATTACAGATTTGGAGGCTGAGCTTATAGCATTGAAGCGCGGTTTAACCGAGGCCGTGAGTATGGGGATAAATCATCTCTCAATCTGTTGTGATCATGATCAAATTTTCGAATTGGTAAGTGTTTACTTGGCTGTTAAGTTACACATGATTAAATTACATTATTTGATTCCTGTTTTTAATACATATAGGTCATGGGAAGATCTGCACCAGAGGTAAATAATATAGCCTTGTTAGTGGATGATGTGCAACGCATCAGACAACAACTTAAGTCTGTCATACCTGTTTTGGTGACTGACCAGAATCATCAAGCCAGTTTTGTTACTAAACTTGCAATGGAAGCAATAGATTATGAAATCAGCATACGTAGGTCTATGACTTGCAGCATCTGTTTCAATAACAATTTCAAAGCTGAGGATATATTTTCAAGTTTCTTATGCAGTCATCGGTTCTGCAAGAAATGTGTTAAACGATATATAGAAGTTAAGCTACTCGAAGGAGGTGTACCGCGATGTCCTTATTATCAATGCGAGTCTATGCTAACTCTTAGTAGTTGTGCGAGTCTTGTGATCACACCAAGACTACAAGAGATGTGGGAAGAAAGGATCAAAGAGGAATCAGTCCCTATGGCGGATAGAGTTTACTGTCCGAACACTAACTGCTCGAGTTTAATGTCGAAAACCGAGCTTTCTAAATCTATCAAACAAGGTTGTGTCAAATGTACTATGCCATTTTGCATCAATTGCAAAGTTCCATGGCACGATAACATGTCATGCAACGAGTACAAGAGATTAATGGGTACGAATCTTACAACAGAAGATAAAAAACTAAATCTTCTAGCAAATCGGATGATGTGGCGTCAATGTGGAAAATGCAAACACATGATCGAACGTTCAGAAGGATGCATCCATGTAACATGCAGGTTTCGTAACCACACTACAATTATCTTATAAATCGCATTAATATATCTAATAATCTGATTATGTACTTCGTAATGTGTTCATATATATATATATATTTGGTTTGATATGTATAGATGTGGTTACTCGTTTTGCTATACATGTGGAGCTGAATGGACAACAAGAAGAGGTTGCTCTCATAAAGAAGAGATGGATGGAGATTTGTGTTGTGATGCAATTATGTGCGTTTTAATTGTCGCTATAGTTATTTCTCTCATTGTGCGTTATGTACATTGATCAAATAAACCGGTTTTGGAGATCTTCATCGATATATACATTTTTGAAGTACATTTTGTGCTAATTTTTTCTTTTTTTGTTATCCGATTTTCCAAAAACTCATTTCTCTAAAACACTTTCAAACTGATTTCATTAAGATTAATTGTGTCATTAAGGTAATTTGGTTCGGTTCAAAATTTATTTTTACAACCCGATATGTATTGATTCCTTTTATAAACTAATCGAACATATTCTACTTCTTCTATTCTAGCTTCATTTTGCGCCAATTTTAAAAAAAATTCATGGAAAAAACGATTTATCAAGTTTAATTGTGAACAATTAATCATTAAAGAATTTTTTCAAATTGTTTTGTATGGATGTAAAATCATATTCCTAAAAAACTATTCTACAACAAATGCATCAAGAAAACTGATATTTTCCAATTTGATTAAGAAATTATTCAATTTAATTGGAACTAAATATTATGTGTTTGAAACCAGTAGTAGCATAATCCGCCTTCATGATCTGATAAACTCGTCAATCTGCTAAGCCGATTTTGAACACTCTTGTTGATCAGGTCTACTCATTTTATTTTTAAAACATAAAAATCTTCAATATGTTTTTGAAAAATCTCCATCTTCCAATGATTTGTTTTTGGCAATTTCACCTTTTAAATAAAAATATTTACTAAGATAGAAAAGTGGTATATGTCAATTTTTATTGGCTTTGTATATTTTTTTTTAATATCATTTTTGTGAGTATTTAATTGAAATGTTTTGTGATTATGATTATTTTTATAAAAATTAAATAAAATTTTCTCATTTGTAAACTACTAGTATTACTACTAGTTTTGTTTTGTTTCTAAGCAAAAGCTTCGTTTTGTTTGAAGATATGCTAGTCTTCTTTGTTTGCAGTTGGCTCTTCTCATTGTTGTGGTTTGCTGTGGTTGATAGCTTTATTGATCAGTTATCGTGCTTGGTTGAATTCGATTTTTTCGAGAGGTTAGGCTTCGCTACTTGTCTTTGCTTTGCAGATCAATTTAGATCTGATTACGCTTAAAAGACATCTATCTAGACGTTATGGGACACTGTAGTTGTCGTCGTCATATCTACAAGCGTATTCGAGTCTTGCTAGCCGGGTTAAGAAGTCTTTGGTTATGATTTTAACAGATTGGCTCTCACATTGATAGAAGGTGGTTGATGTTATCATCGGATTGGCTGTAGGCATCCTTGGTAAATCTCTTCTACAAGTTCTTCAGAAGAAAAGCTTTTCTTGCTTTTTGAGACTAGTGTGTTTTGTATGGTTTTAGGCTTGTTGCTTTTGTTTTTAGTTTAAGAGTTCTTCTTCTTTCGGATTATCTCTTATGTTTTGTTGTTTTTTTCTCTTGATTTCGCTTTATTTTTCTTGTTTGGGCTTTAGATTCCGAAGACATTTTTATCTTCCGCCAACTTTCGCTGTATTTCGCATTGTATCCTTCCTTGTTTCTATAATATATATTACCAGACGACCACAAAAAAAACAAAACTAGTAGTATCAGTACCACTTGGATTAAACAAACAACAACATCCACCCACTAAGATATTTTGGTTCTTTAGAATCTTTTCAGCTTTTCTTGACCCCTTTAAGAATATAAACTTTACTAAAACATATTTACATGAAAAATGTTATCAATCACCGGATTATTATAACACTTCTCCGACTCGGTGGTTCCAATACCATGGCCGATGATGATGATTCACGAACCAACCTGTTAGAGAAGAACGAAGCTTGTCCTGGCTGTATCATTGATCAAACTAAGCAACAGCAACAAGGCATCCCTTACTTACACCTCTCTTTCATCTGGCTTGTCTCACTTTGCACTGGTTAACAATTATTTCACTTTTAGGAATTTTTACAAACACTTGCTTGCAAAGTGATTCATACTCATGTCTATAACTTTTTTTTTTGTGTGGGTTATTTCAGCTTTACCAATATCTTCTCTGTTTCCATATCTTTATTTCATGGTAAGTTTTTAGTTTAACACTTTCAAAATTGTTTCTTTTGGACTAGTTTGGTTTGTGTAATGTACAAATGTGTTTGTGGCAGATCAGAGACTTTGGTATTGCTAAACAAGAAGAAGATATTGGTTTCTATGCTGGTTTTGTTGGTAATTTTTATTCTTGTCTTAAATCTATTTGTTGTTGTTGCTTGAGTACTAATCTTGGAAGCTTTCTTGATGTTTCTTGAGTACTAGTCTTAGGCTATTTGTTATTGCTTGATCAATAATCTTGGAAGATTCTTGATGTTTCTTGATGTTTCTTGATGTTCTTGATGTTTCTTGATAACTTTGTTAGGATCATCATTCATGATTGGAAGAGCTTTGACATCTATCTTCTGGGGGAAGTTAGCCGATCGATATGGTCGCAAACCGATTATTCTTATTGGGACTTTCTCAGTGTACAGATTCATCAGAGTTTAGATTATTCATTTTTTTTCTTGTTTGCAGAGTTTTTCTTTATCAGCTGTTTGATTCTTTTCAGGATCATATTCAATACTCTCTTTGGTCTAAGCACAAGTTTCTGGCTTGCAATTTCCTTTAGATTTCTTCTTGGCTGTTTCAATTGTTTACTTGGAGTTATAAGGGTATGTCTTAGTCCTTTGAAGGATCATCGTAAGTGTAAGGTTTCTTCGGTTTGCTATGTTGCATTTACTAAAGGTGGATTCTATTGTTCTTTTACCATGTTTCAGGCATATGCTTCAGAAGTTGTTAGTGAAGAGTATAACGCTCTTAGTCTTTCTGTTGTAAGGCTTTTATCTAGTTTTTTTTCGAAACATCGCTATTGCCGCCAATTTTTACTTTATCTTGTATTTTCTCAGGTAAGTACATCGAGAGGTATAGGATTGATACTAGGTCCTGCTATTGGAGGCTATCTTGCTCAGGTACACACACTTGACTCTAGAATCGGATTAGTAAACATATCGAAAAATCGACTTTTCTGTTCTGCTTAGCTGACTTGGTTTCTGTTTTCATGTTTTGTTTAGCCTGCAGAGAAGTACCCAAATATATTTTCTCAGAGTTCAATTTTTGGGAGGTAGTATATTTACTATTTCTTTCTCCATCCATTTTCCAAAATGCTAGCAATATTAGTTTCCTCAATAGGTGCTTGATGTTGTGCTATAACAGGTTACCATATTTTCTACCGAGCTTAGTTATATCAGTCTATGCTACTGGGGTTTTCATTGCTTGCTGGTGGCTTCCTGTGAGTATGATAAATAAGATAATGTACTTTGTTATAAAGTCTTTGCAATGCTGTGATCATAAAATGAGTTCTTTTGAAGTTCCAGAGCTATAGTGTGTTGTATGACTTAACCATATTATGATATAAATGAAGCTAAGACTGAAAATGTTAACTCACAACAATAGGCTTATAATCTCTTTATAACTATATGTAGGAAACACTACATACCCGTTGTGGAATTGCACGCGGAAGACTAAATGATGATGAAAGCAGAGGAGAAGGACTTGATGACCAGAAGATAATTAGTAAGCCTAGTCTTCTGAGGAATCTTCCATTGATGGCTATCATCATTGTATATTGTGTTTTCTCCCTTCAAGAGATAGCTTACTCAGAGGTAAGATATATAGTTACAATTCTATTACCAAAAACTCATTTGATTATCTTAAATTGTAGCTTTTTGGTTGGTTCTTTACTAGGACATAGTTAGTTTTATAGGTTCTCCTCTTTCAAACATTCGTATACGGCTTTAAGATATCGATAATTTTGGTGCTCTGTCGAGAGTATCAGTAAAGTTTTTATGTTTTTGAGAGGAAATTTTGTTTATGTGTATACCCTTTTCTTGATACCTTTGCAAGATCTTCTCACTCTGGGCAGTTAGTGATAGAAGCTATGGAGGATTGAGTTTCTCATCCCAAGATGTTGGCCAAGTTTTAGCTATATCAGGTCTATATCAAGATCTTCTTTAACTTACATGGTCTATGTTAGTATATAGTTTTACAACTCTGTTTCTTTCGTTTGTTATTGTCTATCCATATCTCCCCTTGGATGTTCCTCATGATTTGAGTTACCATATTTTTAGGACTTGGGCTTCTATTGTTTCAACTTCTAGTATACCCACCGTTAAAGAAGGCCATGGGACTTCTTGTGCTGATACGCCTTTCCGCGGTAAAACCTGTGGTTGAAGTTTCTTGATTTGTGAATGATGGCTCTTTGGTTTGTTATAGTGAGTCTTGCTGATTTTTTTTACATTGTGATGTTCAGGTATTGTTAATACCGCTGCTTTCTTGTTACCCCTATATAGCTTTGCTTTCAGGGATGACTCTACATTTGGTGATAAATTGTGCATCTATCTTGAAAAACGCTTTGTCTGTGAGTTCTTGTTATAACCCTTAGGCTTTTTGTGCTTAATATCTCCTTATTGAACAATAAGCAAGATTTGAGATAAGTTTCTGTGATATGTGTAGATCTCTCTAGTCACTGGACTGTTTATAATGCTGAACAAGGCTGTGGTATGGTTCTTGTGCCTTGTGTATTGGTGCACCCTTTTCTTTACCTTTATAGCTATCGATGTTTTGATATCGGTGACTTCATCTGCCGAGGCTTATGCTTATTTTTCTTTGGTATGACATCTCAGCCTCAGAATCAGAGAGGTGCTGCTAATGGCATTTCTATGACTGCAATGTCTGTTTTCAAATCATTTGGCCCTGCAGGTGGAGGTGCCTTGTAAGTATTCTTGGAAATTTCGATATCTTTATGTAACACTATAGCAGAAAAAAACACACTCACATTCTTGCAAATACTAGTAACAAGTACTAGATATATTATACAAGCTTCAACGTTGTTCTTCTTGAACTACTGTTATTGTATTTTGCTAATTCTCATTTCTCCTTTGTTTTGTTAACTCTGCAGATTCTCATGGGCGCAAAAGAGACAAGACGCGTCTTTCCTTCCAGGTGAAAATTTGGCACCCAAGTATTAGCGATAAATATCTCACATTGGAAATTGAGTAGGATCATAACTAGTATATAAGATATATGAGTCTCCACTCATAGCCAATTAGTTTTAAGTTGGAAGCCCGTAATCTAATACCAAGTTCATGTTAACTTAAAAACATTATAGCCGTGTTGAAAAACCCGCGGATCATCATCGAATATTTCATCCGAAAAGACGGTGTTTTAATCTCTCTTTGAACACTTACACACGCAGGTGATGAGATGGTGTTCTTGGTGTTGAACTTGGTACAGCTCGTAGGATTGATTCTAACGTTCATACCTTACATTTCCCAAATCCAGTAAGAGGTAAAATTTTATTCACTACTCTTTCTCCTTATAGTGAGGTTGACATGTGAAAATTCATTACAAATTAAATTATTGTGTTTCTCTATGATTTGGCACCACAAGAATGATCAACAATGTTAAAATGTTTATATGTAATACACTTTACTAATTGTTCATTCAAACTCAAGGTATTATATATCTATCTAGTCAAAACGTATGATTCATGTTGTAGGTAACGGTCAAGTCAATATATATGTATGAGAATTCATCTTAATAGAGACTAATAAAAACCTAATTACTTAGGTTGTACAAAGGTACTTACATGTACAACATCAGATTGCTTAATTTAAGAGCAATTCCAAAATCAAATACAAGTAAACAAACAAACAAACAAATAGCTTATTATATACCATAATGACCTTATTAGTATTATTGTTGTGAATGATTTGACGAACTCAATGAAATAAAACTCTCACAATTCTAAGGAGACAAAGCCAAAATGTAACAACATATATATAGTAACATACCTCTTCTTCTTCTTACTTCTTTCTTTTCTAATTTGCGCTATCGCCTTCTTTCTTGTTCTCTTTGTTGTACTCTTCCAATTCATTAAGCCAAAGATCCGCAAACTCGCAATCCTTGCAAGCATCAAACCAAGGCCCTCCTCGAGTATAATGAACCGCCTTAGGCTGAGTGGTTGGATCATTCTCAACAACACTATTGTGCCCTTCAAGAAAGTTCCAAACAAAAGGAATAGACCCAATATCTTCATCCTCAAGCCACTGGAACCTATGGAGAAAGGCACCTGTCTGAGTATTAACAACTTCAGGTGTCAAGGTCTTGTTCTTAGGATGTCCACAATTGTAAAGAACCATAGAAGACCAGTTCTTCCTCGGGTAAACAGTTTGAACCGCGCCATCCATCTTACTTGTCTCCTTAGGTGTGTAATCATTTTGAACACACATGATTGCATATTCATCATTGATCAAATCAGTGAGTTCTTTAATATCAGCAAGGTAGAGGAAATCGCAATCGATGAACATAGCCCAACCTTGGTAATCTGATAAATGAGGAGTCAAGAAACGAGAGAAAGAGAACTCAGTGCTCTCTAGCTGACCTGTTTCTCTCCAATACAAACCTTTCTTTCTAAGATCTTGTTGAACTATTGGTATGATCTCAACAGGTATTGAAGATCTTTTGGTGATTGAGTGATGACAGACTTTGTAAGCAAGATCTTCTCGTGCATCGTAACCTATAAAGATCCTGAAAGGTTTCTTCTCTGACAAGTCATTAGTATTGTTCATTGTCATTGTTGTTGGAGACATTACAGTAACTCGTAACTTTCTTTAATATCATTACGAAACAAAAGTTAAGTTAGCTATTATCTCATTACACTAAGCTAGAAACAAAGATTGAAGTATCTTTAGATGAATGAAGTAGCAAGAATTGAAACTAAAACAGAGAAATAAAGAACGAAAATTTTCCAAGAAATGAGGAAGAAAGATTCTTTAGTACCTTGGAGGCTGGAGATGATGATGAGCTAGAGAAAGGGATGTATGTGGAGGGAGAAAGGCCGAGAGTATCATCTTTTTATTTTCGAAATTATTATTTTGATCATATTAAATAAAATTTTGGAAATAATTTATAATATAAAGTTTGGTTTCAAAGTTACGTTTAAAAATAATAACTAACAAGAAAATTAAAATTGTATCGAAAAAGGATTATAATGATATAAACTTTAATTAAACATATATAATCGTTAGTCATAAAACACGATTATCAAAACGAAATCTTATACTATAATAAAGAAAACGATTATAATTAATTAGGATAATAGACATAGCTCTAGATAGGAAATTTCAAAAATCATAATTAACGAATCGAGAAATTTTACAAAAGAAAGGAGAATCTATACTATTAATTGGAGAGCATGCATTTTCTTATAACTGTAGCCAAAAATAAAAGATTGGATTAATATGATATGAGAATCTAATATACTCCTATATGCAGCCAAACTCAAGGAAATGTTAACTTGTTTCCCTCTTTTTAAATGGCTCAAGTAAATGTTAAATATTTAAGTTTCTAATAATATTTATTATTTTGTTACTAGGTGCCTATTGAGAAAATGACCAAGATAATATGATAAAAATAAATCATACTACCTTATTTACATTTCTCAAGTTAATTATTAGTAGCTAAAACCTTTGTCTATTTTCACTTGCAAGCATTGTATAAGCATTTGACGTTTTGCGAATGAATATAATACACAAGTTCTATAGTGCTAATTATAAGTGGAGAAGTCACTAATGTTACTTAAGTTATATAATATTGAATATGTATAATGGCTTTGATTGATAACACATGGATGGGTGGAGATTTAATCGCTCGTTTGGTTACTAATCGGATGAACGATTAAAATAGGTAAAGATAAAACGAGTGGGTTTTGAAATAGATATTTTTAAAAATATGGCTAGGAGCTTCAACAAAGTGATTGGCAACCATCCAAAAATAGATGAGCTTGAATTTTTTTATTTTCTTAATTTTGTTTGTGTATTTATACTATTTACTCAAAGAGTTTTAAACCGAAACTGAAGTAAAGGGTTTAAGTTCATCTCCAACGGAGGAGATTAAGTGGGTTCTTAGGGAAAAAAAGAGAAAAAATGAAACTCTGTTTATTCATAAGAAACGGCTTTTATTTAGGTATTTTTAGAACATTTAAGAGTCGCATACGTGTCATATTTTCAATGCATAAAAAATTAGGAAACAAGGAATTTGTTTTTCTTTCACGATTATCTTTTCGTCGCAAGTCTCTCGTTTTCTCTTTCTTTTGGGGAAATCAGGAGCTGAATCAGCGATGGCGAAATTTGAGGAGAAAGAGATTTTTCATCTCTAACCATCGTAACAAGAATCTCCAAACCCAAATTTTGATGTTCTCGGATTCGAAGAAATTGTAATTTCGTGTTTTTTTTTGTAGTTATAGCCAAGATTGATCAATCGTGTTGGGTTACAACAACACAACTATAAATTCGGTGTGTAACACAAATCTGATTTGCTTTTTTTTATATGAGAATTTAATATTTCGTTTGGTTGTGAGTAGAGATGTTATCATAGACATATTTTTGTTGGCGATAAACGGGTCTTCACAAAATTTTAAGTCCATTTAATATCTATGTCCGCTAAAAATTTATCAGACATAAATGGACAACCCCGTTTACGTCGGTTTAATAAACGGGCTTTTACAAAATTAGATGTACAGTCCATTAAAAGTTAAAATCAAAACGGCGTTGTTTGAACTAAAACCTAAATCTAATAATATTCCTTCTTCTTCGGTTCATCCCCTCATCGATTTGGACCTTAATCTCAATCCTCCTCTTCGTCGTGGTTAACTTCTCCGGAAGCTCATCCTCCGTATGTGCCTCTACCAAGAATCCCATATTGATCGTCACGCTCGTCACGTCCCCGAAAGCTAGCCGCAAAATGGCGGTTGCGATCGTCGAGCTGCTAATATCGACATCGATTTCAAAGTAGTTAGGACCTCTGTGGTAATTGCATTAAAAGGGACCTCTTCTTCTAGATCTGCTTTTGCAGTAGTCCCTCTCTCTCTCAAGTTCCATTCCTCCTCTTCTTCTCCAATAATCTAACTGTTTTTTTACTTTTGATTTCAAATTCTTAATCTCAAGGTATGAATTGGTAGTGGGTGTTTGTTAGATTTGATTGTAAGTTGAATGGAGTGTGAAGAGTAAAAATTGAACATTTACTCTCTACTCTTAGATTTAATTGTTACATCAATGCTTTTTTTTTTTTTTGTCAACCATTTTTGTTACTAGATTGTGAACCCGCGCGTTACGCGGGATTTTAGTTTAAAATTTCTTCTATCAATATTAATCTTTGAGCATAACTATAACCATTTAAATTTTAAAAGATAAAAGCTATATAATTAAACACTAAACTAAAATTTTTAAGCGATATACAACATATGTATATTGTTGTCGATAGTGTTTTCTTGACAAAAAAAATGATTTAATATTATTATATGGTAACAAAGTTTACTTGAAAAGATTTGCGAGAAGAGTAAATGGCATCGATGATGAGCTCATGATCCTAATTGTAGATATCCTTTATGATTGGATGTTGATACAAATATAACACCGTTCTATATATAACACCAATTTACAGAGCCTGATATACATAATTAAGTGTAAAGATACATTTATGATATCATCAAACTTGCTTTATCCATCAGAAAAAGTGCAATGTAGTAAAAGAGAACTCTCGACCAAGTTATGAATGTTTCTATCTTATCTTAACAGTTAAGCCCGACTTTGAATCTAGTAGTATGTCATGAGTTTTAAAAAAACTCACTTCATTTCACACAATAAATGATATCTCCAATATTTCAAAATTTAGTCATATCATTATCTTTTTAAGTTATATTCATTTATACTCAATCGCTTTTGACTACTAATTCTTTTGTGATCTTCTACGATGGACTCGTTACCTCTCGACATCCAAGTTATTTCCGCCTTCTATTAACTCTCATATAATATATATTGAAGTGTGAGTTGATTTTTAAGACATATCATAACAATTTCTTCCTTAGTAATAGTCCATTTTGTGTTAAAAGCATTTGATTCAAATAATGAGTTTTAAACTTGTTTTTCTTTTTGATTATGTTAGAAAGTTATAGTACTACTTGAGAATAAGTAAACTTTCTTTTTGAGATATGCTACACAAATTACATATCACTTGACGGCTTACATATCACTTTCTATATATTTTATTGTAAAACTCATGTATAATGTGATAATTAATTATTTATTATTTTAGAATATGGATAATAATGTTTTAATAATTTTATATGTTTAATTGAATTTCACGGCATAAAGTGTGACCTTTCAAATATTTTCGTCTTACAGTATTTTAAATTGAGTTTAGTAATCTTTTTTTGAGTTAAAATTTAATAATAAATAAAAATATGTGATATTTATTTAGAACTTATGTTTCACTTTAAATTTATTTATTTTTCCTCTTTAAAATTCTGAAAGTAAAATTATGAACAATTTGTATTATTCTACCATGCATTTAAAATTTACATATATTTTAAAACACATTACCACATTTAAAATTCCAAAGTATGATTATTTTAAAGTTTGTTGTTTTTTAGAGTTTGACTTTATCATTACTAATAAAATTCTCATAGTATTGGTTTTACTATTTTTAATTTAATTTATTTTACATATTTTTATTTTTAATTATTTATTTATTACCATGAAACGAAATTATATGTTAAAATTATGTAACGCCTATCTTTTGTTAATATATGTTAGAATAAACTTACATATTTAAGTACCTTAGGCGTGGAGATTTGAAAAGTTAGAATCTCATGAACGATTATTAAATGAAAAAAAGATTGAATTTCCGAATTCTGATAAACTGAAGTAGAAACTACAGAAATCCGTAGAAAAAAGAACCTATTAACTTATTTAGGCTTATATTATATTGGGCTAAAAAATGTGTTCATTTTAATGTTATATAAAATAAACCCAATTTGGATATAAAAGTATTGAGGCTTAAATTACAAAATAACGGGTTAAAAGACAATAGAATGATAAACAAAATATATGGATTTAGATTATTTGTTGGGTTTGAAACAAAAATTAGAAAAATGCTGATGTGCACGGCTTTAGAGGGAGAGAACTCTCTCATATATAGATTTCCATATCGGAAAATTACATGGACATCAGAGTCCAAACATACAAAACAAATAAGCCCAAATAGGCCCAATTTAAGTGTTACATCAATGCTTTCTTGTGTCGTATACGGTATATTTAGGGATGTTAAGAGTGGGCTAAAACCTGACAATAGAAACGACAGCGTTCTATCAAAAAACCAAACTAAACCTATTCGGTGAAAAATCTGTCTTCTTCTTCCCCTCGACTCCGACATCGATTCTACTGCTGCCATTGAAACCCATTGCTGCTTCGTCCACCATTGTTGCTTCGTCGGCCATTGTCCGCTATTGCTGCTTCGTCTTCCCTTGTGTTCGATCCCGAAGACAAACACAAACTCATCCATATCTGTTGTCTTCTTTGTCCGCCATTGTTGGCCACGAATTGAGCTTCATATTGTTATCTCGAAGTGGGTTTCACGAATTTTGGTTAGTCTTCTTCTAAAATTCTATTTTGGATTCAAACTCTTTCGTTGTTGCATTTTGGGATTATGAGAATTCGATTTTGGTTTCAAGCTCCTTCACTGTTGTTGGATTCAAATCTCTTAAGTTTTTTGGTTACTGTAACTCTTAGCTTTTAGG